TTCCTCCTCCTCCACCGAGTTTGGTGGCATCACAGGCCCCAGTTCAACAGCAAGCGCAACACCAGAATGTCAATACCTCTGTAGTTGGTGGATCCCGTTATTATGAACACCATCATCCCTTGTTGCTGGGTCATAGTACTGGTTCCCCAACTATGCTTCCTTCCTTGCTATCTGGCCGACAAGTGACATTTTCTTTGCCAGAAGTAGAACTGTCAGGAGCGAGGCAGTCCTCTCCATCTCAGTCACTGCAGACCGCAAACATAGAAGAAAAGACTGCTATAGCACCGGTAATGGAGCCTCTTCCATCAAATAGCAGTGAAGAAACCCCGGAGTCACTGATGAAACCCACAACTGAAATTGTATGTCCACTCTTTGTCCCTCATCTACTAGTTTGTTCTTCCTCATGATATGATTTGGCCATTTATAGTAAACAGTTAGGCTGATGTCACCCTTTTTTAAAATTATGTTTCGTGGGTAAACCTAATTTGGTCCTTGTCATTGATCAGTTAAACCATAAATATTGCTGAATGTTGATTAGCAAACAATCAAGTCTATTCTTCCTGCATGAAGTTACTTGTAAACTACATTAAAGATTTTAAAAAATGAAAGCAGCAAATACTAACCAAAATTGCTCTCAACCCCATGAAACTTAAGATGTAAGCATCTTCCACCCTGGCTTCCGTCATGCTTTAACACTTCACAAAAGCTAGACCATTAGGTTAATGTACATGGTAAGCCATAAGCTGACTCCTCCTTCTTTGGAGGTTCTGTTATGTGTTTGTGCTTCCTTCTAATTTCTTGGATCACATTGTCCCAAAACAACACTAGTCAATACTCTTCTACTTGTTTCTCATGTGCTCAACAACACCCTTTCTTTTTTTCCGTTCTTCTTCTACTTGCAGGGATCTACATCATCTCCTCGTGATAAAAATCAGTCTGCTCGGGGAAGAGATCAGGTAATTATCTCTTCTGTTTGCATTTTCATTTAAGCCTACATAGGTATTGATATGAGTCTTAGGGGATGTTTATTTATTATGCATTCATGTCCCTCATTCGCACAAAGGCCGTTCACTAGGCGGCCAAATGTGGTAACTCAACACACTTGTTTGACTTCTTTGAATTGCTAGTTTAAACTGGTATTTTGGCCTGTTTCTTGTATAGAGATATTGCCAACCTGTGGGTAGTACTAGTACCAAACTCCATCTCTTGTTTCACTTTCCTTGGTGCCAAGCCAAAAATAAAGTTCAAGTATTTTCTGTACCTGCCTCCGGTTTTATCCACATCTCTTAGTCCAAAATTTCATTTACGTCTCACATGTACACTCGCTATTTACCATGGGTTTTTTTTTGGGCTTCCCACCCGGTGTCCAGAACCTGCATTGGATCCCCGACTAAATTTGGATCCAAATTGACAATGTTTGGATACATATATATCTTGTTTTCCTCTAATTAACAACTACAAATTTGATCTCATTCCTATCCCCCTAGTGGAGATCCCGTTTTCCTTTCAAATCTTTTGCACATAGGGAAATGTAAGCGCGATTAGTTTTGCTCTCTTAATTATTTTTTAATTTTTTCCTTGTTGGTTTGTTAACAGTAGTCTCACATCTTTCGTGAAAATAACTTTTGTTTCCATGTTCAGAATCCCGGTGTCATAAGAAGATTTGAAGTGGACTTTGATTTCGAGAGAATGAACAAAAAGTTCAACAAGAAAGAAGTTTGGGACATCTTCAGCAACGGTGATGCCAGAGACGTACACCATAGGAAGGTAAGCAAGGTGGTGGAAATTTGCACAAGTTTCATTTATAAGGTTTGCGATGCTCTGTGCATGTGGCGTTTCTAATTCTGGCTGGTTATTTATTGACTTCTGTCTGTTCTGCAGCCTGTTTACCATAAGGATGAGTTCTTTGACTGTCTTTCTTATGGTCTACCAGAGCATGAATCCATAGTGATGCCCTCTGAACAAATGAGAATAGACAACGAGGTAATGTTGTCCTATATTGTCATTATAAACACTCTTTATCATTTTTTTCATTCTATTAAGAGACTTGTTCATGTGTTGCCAGACCTTTGGAGTAGAGATCCCAATAGTCCATCTGGATCATGAGAATGGACCACACTCGTCTAGGACATCTCAAGCCTCGACCTCGACCTCACTTGGTGGCAATGTGCGTGGTCCTGTAAAACAGGTGTGGAGGCGTGTCTCAAAATGAAAATTCATGTTCAATTTAATCTTATGGTCGAAAACTATTCAAAGCTTTAAGGCTTGGTAATTATAGAAGAATGTAATTAGTGGTAAATGATCACCTGATACCATCACTTTCTTGACATTGTTGGATGGATGTTTTTGTTAATGGATTATGAGCTAGGTTCAACAAGCAGTAAAGTTCCGCGATTTCATGCTACAGGTTTGAAACGTAAATTAAATGCTTATATTTGAGCTCAATTATAATGGTAATTTGCAAGTGTTGTTGCAAGGTTTAAATCCAAGCTTGCATTTACTGCATACCGTTACTTGTTAAATTCAGTACTAATATTACTCTTTATATTCTACGGTAAGTTTACGTACACCAGCCCGGTAAAACTAATAGTATATTATAGTTTTTACATATAATATATTTCATGCAGACAAACTTTTAGAGAGTGTTTAGATCTCTCTTTCACATGTTCTCCAACTTGGCAACTTAGAGCCTGATAGCAGGGAATTGGCCTAACTTCCATTAAGACTACAAAAAGAAGTTTATAACTTTATTTAATTAATTAATTAATAAAATCCTTGTTCTTTTTGTTATCTTCCTGGTGGATAAAGAATATAGATGTAACTTTACACAAATATCACTCTTTTTTTTCTCTAGCTAGCATATATACAAAAAATTAATGAATTATACTAATAATAAAAAATATATAGAAGAACGTACATAACGTTTGATTAATAAAGTGTTGTCTGAATAAGTTAATTATTAAAACAAACAACATTTACTAACAAACCGCTTCTTGTTGCATGCCTTTGTACTTTAGGATCTCGAGGCTGTTTTTCCTCAGAAAAAAATTCAATAAACTTTTCCAAAAAGTGAAAGAAAAAAAAAAAGTTTCAAATGCCATTGAGAATCATTTGTAAAGATAGTACTGTCTCACTTCACTTTTATTCATTCATTTTAAATTTGATACATCTTTTAAAAAAAATAACAATTAATATGAATATTTTATCATATTACCATATTAATTAATGTATATGGTTTTACTATCTTAGGTTTTTAGACATACAATTTGAGAAAAAAGTAATTAAATTTGATATAATATTAAAAATAAAAAAATTACTTTAAAATGTGGAGAAGTAAAAGTGGAGAGAGGATGTTTTACTGCTCTTAATTTAAAAGGTATAATCTAAGATCAGTTACAAAAGACCCTTTTTTGACTCATATCGCTTTCACCAGTCACTTCCTCCTCAGAGTGAGTGTTCACATTATTGAATAATATATCACCTTCCAATATTTTTGTCTTTTATACTGATTTGAACTATTTTATTTGAATTGAGGCTTCATATTTAAAAAAAAAAATTACTACTTTCTATGAGATATTAGTCAGGTTTGCTTATATTTTACTCCCTTACATATAAATTTACATCAAGTATAATATTGTTATTAACTACGGTTGTATGCCTTTTGTATGTTAGAATGATTCAACGTTTTAGTAGAAAATTAAATTGTTTAGGATTTGATATTTAGTTTCTTTAATTGATTTAATTCATGTCTTATTAGAATTTGTAATCTAATTAACATAGAAATAAGTTTTCTTATTTTAAAATAATGTTGAACCTAGAACAAACTTAGGAAGACAAAGATGATGAAAAGAGGACAAAGGAGTAAGAACCAAAAACAGATAACCACAATTTTCTGAGGATGTTTCTCCTCACTTCACTTGTTTTTTTTTTTTATAAAAAAAAATAGTAATATAATATAAGTATTGTTTAATATATTAAGAAAAACAATTATTGTTTAAAATTTTATTTTAAAAGAAGCGTGCAAAATCTAAAATACTGGTATTATTGTGAAATGGAAACAAATGATGTTGAACACGGTTGAATGGTTGAGCATCTTAAAAGTCATTTACTCATGAAATCTACATGAGTAAATGTTTTTTGTTCACATTAAATCCTATGTTGTATCCCACTCTAACAAATTAAATCTCTCATAATCACACACATATAAACATAAATTTGGGTACAAAATAGAGTTTTTTGGTACACAAATATGACTAAATCAAAGCCTTTGAAATTTCAGTGTACCATAAAAATACTTTATGCGTTAATGTTTTACATATTAGTCCAATTTTTAGATGTCTTAAATTAAAGGGACAACTCAATACATTAAAACTTTCGCTATGCACACAGTAGTGGAGCCAGAATTTTTAATAAGGAGGTTCAAAATCTATAAAAATAGACACAAAAGTAGCCGAAGGGATTCGACATCTACTATATATACATAAAAAAATTATTTTAACCATAAATAATTAATGTAATTTTCCGCCGAAGGGGATTCGGATTAGTACAAGGTGTCTCCGCCCCTCTATGCACAAGGTCCCGAGAAGGGTCTGATCACAACGACTTATTGTACACAACTTAAATTGTACTGAGTCAAAATCTATTGATTTAATAAATGAATGAGTTGGACATTTTCTATTTCATTGCTAATTGTGATTTTATTTTTGTTTTAATTTAATATATTTTATATAGCTACGAATGAAAAGAAAAAGAGGTTTATTAAGTATTAAAAAATTAGTAAGAAAATAACTAAACTTATTAACTACGTATAATTTAGTATTTAGTTCAAATTCAATCCAACTCGTTGATTTGACTATGCTCCACTTCTAGTCTTTGCGCGGTCCAATTTGTCGTACAAACACAGCCTGCAGTTTCCAGACCCTATATAATTCGACTATATTATTACTTCAATACATATAACTAAAAAAAAAAAACATAAGCAGACAGAGTCTTATGTTTATGTTTTGTTTGTTACTAAACATCAAAAAAGAGAAAAACTAGAGCTCTGAACAAAGGTTTTTTAACTTCTTTCCATATGGATGTGAGGAAAATAGTGATAATAGTAGAAGATGTACAAGTATCAAGAACAGCTCTACAATGGGCTCTTCATAATCTCTTACGTTATGGAGATTTAGTAACACTTCTTCACGTTTTCCCAAATTTGAGATCCAGAACCAGCAACAAACTTAGGCTTCTTCGCCTTAAAGGTTTTCAATTAGCTCTCTCTTTTCAAGATCTTTGCAACAATTTTCCCAACGTAGGTTACTCTGTTTTTTTTTCTTTTTACCATGATGTTCTGGTTTTTTTAAAAAAAAATTGTAATGTTACTGATACATATATGTTAACAGAGATAGGTGGTTGATCTGTTACAGACCAAGACAGAGATTGTGGTCACTGAAGAAGATCAAGATGGTGGCAAAATTGCTGAAATGGTTAGACAAATTGGAGCTTCAACTCTTGTTGTTGGACTTCATGATCATAGCTTTATCTACAAGTAAGTTGATATCTGTTACTTCCTACTAGTACAAGTATCGAGTATTATCAAAACTTGGATAAATGTGAAGAAATCACCTAATATCTTTACTTTCGATGATTAATTGATCACTCGAAGATGTGTGAGAATCTTTGATTATGAGTAGTACATCTCTTTAATAAGAAAAATCGTTTAATACTATGGAGTTTAGTCTTTAGGGACAAATTGATTAAATGATAAGTGAATTGATTTATTCCATTGTAGATAGGAAATGGATAGGAAGTTGCTAGCAATAAAGCCATTAAAGGCCTACAGCCATGGTTGGTCAACTCTCCTCTGTACAGCCACTTTTAGTATTAATGGTGAAACCACATTTTATCCGAAATCTTTTTATGCTTGAAATCTCTGATTAAGGATAAATAGACGATGATTCAATTTATCTCTTAAACTAGATTTAATATTAGGGAGTACTTTAATAGTTTAAGTTAGTTCTTATTTGATTTAAAATATTTAGAGTAGGATAAGGATTTGTGAATTATTAATTGAGTTTGTTGGAACTCCTAAATTTGTTTTTGTGCTAGACTGGCCAATCTTTTCTTCTCTGCCACGTTTCAGTCACTGCCCATTGGCCGGCCGGTTTCATGCAATTGTGTGTCCTCATTATTTGTAACTGCTAAATTTTTTATTCATGCCAATCAGATGATCCTCAAAATATCATATCCTCAAGAATTGTTTTGACATCACAATCGTCGTGTGTGTGATCATCTCATTCAAATATTTAAATTATTGGAGAGCGCATATCATGTTTCAATATGCTATCTGTCACTTTCGATTAGCCAAATATGTATCTGTTACATGTTAAAAGATATGACCATCTCATCTATAGATTTAAATTTTCTTGAATATGTTTTAGCATAGTGGAACTAAACTAGTTGTAATATTTATAATTGATTTCTTACTAGGATGGCCATGGCCCATAACAGTATAGCTAGCAATTTGAATTGCAAAGTAGTGGCTATCAAGCAACCAACACCTTTGACCACCACCACAACAAGGAAAAGGACTATTTCTTTACCTAACAGTTCAACCAACATGGACTTGTCACAGATTGAAATAGCAGCACTGAGGTAAGAATATTTATGCCTAATTTCATGCATTTGGATCCAAGTCTGTTATTACCTGCTCCATATAATATATTCTGTGGTCCTGACTCTAGAAGGGTTCTTCAAGAATAAATCAATATTGAACCTCCCTTATCACCACCCCTTGAGATTCTGAGTTCGAGTCCTGAAAATATAATTGTCTTTGGTTAGAAGCGCATTACCCTCAAAGTAAAACTTTCTGACACAAATTCAAATTAGTTGAGCCCTAAAACGAGTATTCGAATGATATAAAATATTGAACCTTTCTTACATTAACAATTAGCTTAAAGTGATCAAATGAATTGGATATTTTATTAAATGAAAGACACTACATTAATAGTTGTGTTGCGATGTGATGAGGAACAAATAAGGCAATATGGTATAGCTGTAAACAATAGAATTTAAGGATAGGGTCTTCATTACAAACAAAGAGGTACAAGAAATAAATGAGTTTGTCTGCTTGTCAACTTGACATCACACCAACGAGGGTTGTGGTGCAGTGGTAAGTACTTCTTCATCCTTAATCAGAGGTATCGGATTGAGTTTCCCTGAATACGGAGTCGCCTTTGTCAAGAAGCTCTTTAACCCAATGTAGGACTTTCCAACGCGAATCCAAATTTAGTTGGAAGTGAGTATCGGACACCGAATTGGAAAGAAAAAAAGGGAAAAACTACATAAATGAGCCATAAAATCCAAAATAATTACAAGTTTATACCCAAATCCAAAGTAATTCCTGAAATACACATTCTCTCATAAATAATTACAGTCTATACCCCCTTTCATTAAGGGTGATAAATTTCGCTTAAGTGATACTAAAACGGTATCATATACTGTATTGGTATCATTAAGGTTGATAATTTCGCTTAACTGATACTAAATGAGTGTATATATATATATATATATATATTGTATTGGTATCCTTAAGGTTTCCTGTTCAGAAATTACTTATTAGTCAATGATACTATAATAGTATATATGTCTATTGTTGTGGTATCATTAAGGTTTTTTGTTCAGAAATTACTTGTTAGTCAATGATACTATAAGAGTAAATATATATATATATATTTTATGGCATCATTAAGGTTTCTTGTTCAAAAATTACGCATTTGTCAATGATACTATAAAAGTATATATGTATACTCTTATAGTATCATTGACTAATGAGTAATTTCCTAACAACAAATCTTAATGATACCAATACAATATATATATATATATATATACACTCATTTAGTATCAGTTAAGCGAAATTATCAACCTTAATGATACCAATACAGTATATGATACCGTTTTAGTAGTTAATGATACCAATACAATATATATGATAATAATTTAGTATTAGTTAAGCGAAATTAGTAAAGGAGGTATATATTGTAATTATTTAATGGGGTATGAATGTAAAGGGGTATATGTTTGTAATTATTTTGTTTTTATGGGGTATTTGCTTATTTTCCCCAAAAAAAACTTAACATCACATCTTGGATGATAGTATATATTTGTTGACAGAGACATTAATAGAAATTCTTATAAAGGGTATCAGAACAAATATAAACTTGTCACACATGAAATTTGTACTTCTGATAATTTAAAACAAATTTTGAACCAACCTTACCACTAATAATATAAAGAATGTTTTGTACATATCCTTTTAAAAAATTGGAATTACTATTTTTCTTGCAAGTCTTAAATTGTGATCATGTACGATTTTAGTAATATTTGGTAGTTTATTTGTGTATAAATCATAAAAAAAATAAAAAATTATTGATGATTTGATTTAATAATGTAATGTGTGCAGTGTCCCGGAAATTAATCCACCAAAAATTCCATATCAAATTTGTCCAGACCCGAGTGCTATTATTTGGAGAAAGGGGAGATCCAGAAGATGGACAAGAAGAGATTAAAAATCAACAAATTATGTATATCTGCTGTTATTAATTATTTGATGACAAAAGTGGTTTTTGAATTTGTTAGTTTGACTCAACAGGGCATAGAACAAAGACAGAAAAAAAAAAAGATTCACAAAATTTACAAGTTGGTTGGTAATTTGGCTAATGAATATTCATAATTATGTGATTCATTATGACGAAAACAAATATAGCTGTAATTTTCATTAATCTGTATGGTAATTTGTACTATTGGTATGCCCCGTCTGTCATAACTTGTGAACAAGACAAATGTTATCGTAGCGACAAAATTTGTGTATCGAAAATGTTTAGAGCCCAAAAGGCCCACGAGACCATGATTGACATGCCAATGAGTACTACAAATGTCAGTTTTTTCAGAACTTAATCTTCTCTATTTTTTGATAAATTATTGTGCTATTTTATTCGTTTAAATTTGATATACTTTAAATATCCTTATTTCTAAATCCACCAAAACAAATGGCATCAGTGAGCTGGGAAAAATAAAACAAAGCAATCGAAAACACGATTGTTTACTATACCTTATAATTTAATGATATCGGAGAATTCTTTCCCATAGTAGTTGATAATTAAAAATAAACACCATTTTTTAACAATTTTTTAGTTTAACAACGTAAAATATTTTATTTGCACTTAATATAATTTCAAAAGTTAAACTCAGAAAGAAAGGATTAAACAAATAATATTATTACTAGTTAAAGATAAATTTGATAAAGAAGACAAAATTGAGAAATGGTTTTTTAATTTTCACACTCTAAAACATTCTATAATTCATAATTACTTTGCTAGTTTAATAATAATTTTTTTTAACTAATTCTTTTTTATAATAATAATAATTAAAATAGAGTTTGGAGAAACAAATTAAATAAAAAAAAATGAGAACTAAAATAAATGAAAAATGGCGGCTAGAGAACTGAGTCCCGAGTTGATGCATCCAACTCAGTGAAAGTCTCCACAGCTTGAGCTGCCACTTCACACATTATTTTTTATTTTTTCTCTACTTTTAAAAATGGTTAAAAAAGTTTACACAAATCAGCTGTATAGCGCACCATTAGACAATTTCTTGATATATTTAAATTTTAATGGAGAAAGTTATTTTATACTTCAAACTAGCTCGAACATTATTTTATTATAAATAAAATTAAGGTTAATAAAATTTATTTTGAATAAAAGAGAGAACTATTGAAAATACTCTTAAACTTGGCGCAAAATATTAGTTTTGTTCCCAAATTATTGACAACCTTGAAAATACTCATCTACTTGACTTACTAAACTTAGATACACCAACGATACACCCCGATGTGCCACATGACGTTATAACAAGTGATTTAAAACTCTTATAGAAGCATGTGACTCTTAATAAAAAAGTGTTGAAAACACCTTTAAACTTGACGAGAATTTATGGTGTATTTCACTCAGGTTACAAGATTGCGAGTGTATTTAAGTTCAGTCAATCAAGCAAATGAGTGTTTTTAAGCTTGTCAATAATTTGAGGATGAAACTAATAATTCGTGCCAAATATAGGAACATTTTCAATAATTCTCTCAAAAAAAAAAAAGACTCACATCATAATAATAGTTTTTGAGAAGTTAAAATAACATTATTTATTAATAATGATTTATATAAATTAGAAATAAAAGTTATTTATATGTTTGATTCTAAACTAAAAGTGAAGTAATAATTTCTCATTACCATAAATTGTATGATAGGACAAACAAGATCTCATTTTCTGAATTAAATTAATTAGGACTAAATTGTAGTAGAAACAAAATAGAAAGGGGTAGTAATAATTTATGGAAAGTAGAAAAAGAAAAAAAGAAAAAAAAGGTAGAAGGGTTTGGCGTGACGGCTCTACCAAAACTAAAGGCTGAAGCTTCGTCTCCACATAAGTTCTGTATCAGTCGGATCTGAGATCGGCTTCCATCACTAATCTATCTGGCTCTCAGCTTCCCTTTCTCCTTCTCCACTTCAAACTCAATTCCTTTCCCTCCATTTCTTCCTCTGCAACTCCTCTTTCCCATTTTTTCTATCTCTTTCTGTTTCTCTCACTAAAATATATCTTCTGAAACAGTATTCAACACTGATAACAACTGGAATTTCAAATTTTCAACACTAATTTTGTATGTTTTGCTATTGATTTTGTTCGCGATGGATTGGAATGTCAACACTGGTTATAAGACCTTAAAAGGTACTTTTTTTCACTCTACTTAATTCATTGCATTCATCTTCTTTGATTTTCTTTTTTCTGTAACAGAAATGGAATCCAAATCCCTTGCTGTTGTGGAAGCTCCAAGTACAATCCTTAATGTAGAACCTATAGATATCGGGCCGGGATCTTCAGAGAAAGATCCTACAACAAAACTAAGGAAAAAGGCACTCACATCAGTTTATCTCAAGCATTTTGAAACAGCACCGGATGGAAAAACTAGAAAATGTAAATTTTGTGGACAGAGTTATTCAATTGCAACAGCCACCGGTACGTTTAAACCTTTTTTCCCCAATTAATCAAGACAAATGCTCAATTTTCATGTGAAATAGGTCATACATTAATGAATTGATAATCAAGTGCTTAAATTAATGGATATTATGCTGTATCTATAGACCTTGATGTTGTTCCTTCGTTTTACTAGGCAATTTGGGAAAACATCTTAGCAATCGTCATCCAGGATATGATATAACAGTAAATGTTGCAAGTCCCGCGCCACAATCTGTTACTGTTGTCAAGAAGCTTCAACCTAAACCTCATGTCAAAGGTCCTCAGTTGGAGCTTGATCATTTGAACTGGTTGCTTGTCAAGTGGCTTATTCTCGCGTCTCTTCCTCCTTCGACTTTGGATGAGCATTGGCTTTTGAATTCATTTAAATTTCTTAATCCAACAGTAAAACTTTGGCCTGAAGACAAGTTCCAATCAGTGCTTTGCGAAGTTTTTAGAAGTATGCAAGAAGATGTAAGGGTGCTAGTAGACCAAATTTCTTCCAAAGTCTCTATAACTCTTGATTTCTGGACGTCTTACGAGCAACTTCTTTATATGAGTGTGACATGCCAGTGGATTGATGAAAATTGGTCCTTCCAAAAGTTGCTCCTTGATATTTGTCACATATCCTCTCCTTGTGGGGCTGCTGAAGTTTCTCATGCTTTGTTGAAGGTTCTTAAGATTTATAATATTGAGAATAGAGTCCTCTGTTGCACACATGATAATACTCCGATTGCACTGCACGCGTGCCATACTCTCAAAGAAGATATGGATAGCCAGAAAATGAGTCCTTTCTACTATCTCCCATGTGCTGCTCATACTTTGAATTCAGTCATAAATGATGGACTGAGTTCAACAAAGTCGATAATTTCTAAAATAAGAGAATTTGTTCTAAAGATGAACACATCCTTTGAGATCTCTCAGGATTTTCTCCAATGCTGCAATGCTTATCAAGAAGGAACTTGGAAATTCCCTCTTGATGCCTCACCTCGTTGGAGTGGCAATTACCAGATGCTTGACATTGCACGAAAGGTATCTTTCTTTCCCGATATGTTTATAAATATCACGCTGCTAGCTTCTCATAAACATATTTAAGAACAAGGCATACACACATACTGACTTGTATAAGTTTGCTGTGATGTTGGATCAGTACAGTTCAAAGCTTACTCTGATTGTCTTAAACTGTCATATTTTTATAGTGAAGTTCTTCAATCTTTATAATACGTGTATAATTAGTTTGCCTTTGATTGTGTTGAATGTATTATGATAATAAATTTTATACTCTTCTCTGATCTCATGACTATACTTGATTAACAATCTCTAATCTATGCTTAGCAACAGTTGGTTTATACATGTTCAGCTTGAAATGGGAAGTTGATAAGTATGTCTTTTTAGAGATAAAACTTTGATTAGTGTCAATGACCCTCCACTTTCAGCCACTGTTGAGCTTCTGAATAGCGGAATTGGGGAACAAGGTTTACCATATTAAAAAAGAGAATCTTTGATAATTATCGAAGTAAAAAGTTCAAAATATTTGCACTCAAAATGCTTAGACTCTACTAGATTGGACAAAGGAAACATAGATACGCCAACATTATTGAGTTATGAGTTGTTGCTTCTTGCTACTTATAGATGGAAGTGGACAACATCATAAGGAGGAAACACAAGAATGGATTTTCAAAAAATGGTTTTGCTTTACATTTAATCTACAAATGAGTGATGAATTTAATTATATATTTTTTTTTAATTTAGGCAGGTAAATCATTGGAAACTATCGTCCGGAAGTATGATGAACTACTAGGCAGTAGGGTGCTCCTCAACAACGTGGAGAAGAATGCTGTGAATATCATGCATGCATTTTTAGAACCTTTCTATAAAACCATCAATGACATATGTACAAACAAAGTATTAACAATTGGTTTGGTTCTTTTTTTCATGGATCATATTTCTGAAACAATTGCAGCCTGTAGAGACTCTCGACACAGCCCTGACTGGCTGAAAAGTGCTGCTGATGAAATGGCTACGAAAGCTCGAAGCTACAATGACCAGATGTGCAACTCCTTCACATATATGACTGCTATTCTTGATCCAAGAATAAAAGTCGAGCTCATTCCTGAAAGTCTCAATTCCGAGAATCACTTGGAGGAAGCCAGAAGCCATTTTATAAGAAACTATTCCACCAGTCATTTTCCTTCTATCTCTGGGTCTTATGCTGCACATGAGCTCGAAGATGGAGGAAGTGTTTCTTTTGCAGAGGAAATTGCTCGTAAGAAACGCAAGGCAAGCATGTCCTCCGCCACAGATGAGCTCACCCAATATTTATCAGAACCTCCTGCTCCTATACAAACAGATGTCTTGGAATGGTGGAAGGTAACCAATGCACGTTACCCACGGTTATCATCCATGGCTCGAGACTTTTTGGCTGCACAACCAACTGCTTTGGCGCCTGAAGACCTTTTCTGCAGCAAAGGTGATGAGATAGATAAGCAAAGGTTCTTAACGCCCTATGAGAGCACTCAAGCTTTGCATTGTGTAAAGTCATGGATGCAAAGTGGATTTAAGTTGAAGTATAAATCAACTGAAATTGATTATGAGAGGTTAATGGAACTAGCAGCTGAAAGTTCAATGGCAGGTTCCGACAAGAAACAAAAATCATGATAGAATTTTTATTGATGAAACTGAAGGTCCATGTTTTGTTGTATGTATTATATTTATGTAGATGCATCATATGCTTACTGCTTAGTGTACAGGTTTTGATAGAGAAAAGTAGACAATGAATTTATTTTCTTAGGAAATATAGAGCTTGTGTCTTAACGAGGCTTTTTTTTCTTCTTTAAGTCCCGGTAACAGGATCGTGATCATCAAAAAAATAAATAAATTATACTAATTGGTATGCATAAAAACCTTGCTTGTTATAATCCTATTGTTCTAGAATGCCAAAAAGGACAAGGAGTGAAAACGTTACTGAAACAGAGGTGCTGAGAAACTATATATGATACTCCCTTTTTCTTTTCGTCCTTTCATATGAAAGTCTCAAGCTTAAATCACTGGACCACTCAAAAGGATTCTATATATGATATTCCCCGATTTAATTTATAGTATGATATAGTTTGATTTTTGGATCCATCCTACCTTTTCTTTTTTACTCAGGGTCGTAAACTCTACAAGGAATCGACCAAATTTTTTAAACATATTATTATTGTAGAATCAACCATTTGGTAAAAGGTTAGTAAAATATGAACCATTAAATATTCCAAATGTAAATCAGCCAAGTGAGAAAAGGTCCAATTCTGCCAAAGCACATCTAGGAGCATAACTCCCACGTGTTTCTCTTGCATGCACTCCACCTCCTCACACGTGTCACATCACCCCATCCTTTTCTCCCTTTGCTCTCCTCTATTTCACTCTCACTCTCTCTTCCCCAACATTCATACACTCTTTTCTTTCTCTGCAACAAAAATGGCCGATCAACAACCCAACTACGGCCGTCAACAAAGGCCACCAACTCGTTCCTCCGGCTTCAACAGCAACATGACTACCCCTTCATTCCTCCGCAAATTGCAAGAACACGTCCCTAATTCCACCCAACTCGTCGGATTTCTAACCCTAATTATCTCCGGCGGAATCTTACTCCTTCTCACCGGACTCACACTTACCGCAATTATTTTAGGTTTAATCTTCTTCACCCCTTTGGTTCTAATCTCGAGCCCAATTTGGGTCCCTGTGGGTACTGTTCTGTTTATTGCCATTGCCGGATTTTTATCTGTTTGTGGATTTGGGGTTGCCACGCTGGCGTTTCTCTCTTGGTTATATAGATACATTAGGGGATTACACCCACCCGGTTCGGACCGGGTTGATTACGCCAGAAGCCGAATTGCTGATACGGCTAGCCATGTGAAGGATTACGCTAGGGAATACGGCGGCTACCTTCATAATAAAGTGAAGGATGCAGCTCCTGGTGCTTGAGCTCAATCGAGCCGTTTCTATAAGTTTTGTTTGAACCGGGTTAATTTTCTCTTGAGTTTATTTTTTATTTTTTTTTAATTATATAAATATAAAATCGGACTGTTGTAGTGTTCTGATTTACATAGAATGTAGTGATGTTTATTTGAGGATTTTAATTTCTTTTATATGGAATTTAATTGGGCCCTCAATAGGCATAACAAGTGGATAGAAATGATGATAATGTTGTAACCGGGCCAAAAGGGCACCATCATGTTTTTTTTTTTGCTCAATTATTTGTTGCACTCAATAATGTGCTTCAAGCTCATCAACAATGTCACAATTTTCATATATAACACGTATACACAAGTCCTTTTTCTTGCCACAAATTTGCATATATAATATATAGATGAAGGAGATAGTGACGCGTGGCGGATACAAAATTTATGATACTATATGAGATAAGAGGACTGGCAATAATTTCCACCTAATTCAAGTGTCTTTTTTCACGTTTGAGCTATGGATACGAAATGACAGACCAATTACTAAAATGTTTGGGCAAAAAAAGATCTCATTCTTTGGAATATGTAGAAATTATCAATATAGCTTAATAGTAAGTACCTAATACTGATTAGGACTTGGAAGACAAAATAATTTACGAGACATTAATTGACTTTGATCTTCCATTTTTCTTCTTTTAGGAAAAAAAAACAAGGAAGATGAAAAAAAATGCAATTGGACCAAGTCATATGACTCATACCTAGTCTATTGGTACTTTGTGTAAGCCTGACTAGAGAGATTGATCTCATGTCATTTTAAAAAAATAAAAAAATCTTGTCTGATATTTATTTTGGAGCTCAAGTGACAAATCGATATCTTCAATTAAGAATGAAAAAATATTTATCATTTCACGGTGAAATGAAATTGGATATTGAGTGGTTCAAATTGTATGTGAGACTAGTGTTCCCCGTAGACCATAATTATGATGCAAAGCTTTGTCCAACTAGGAATTAAAAAAAAAAAGAATTTAAAACAAAAGTTGAATTCTTCAATTCCAACTACAATTTAATCATACACTGAAATTGGCATGAGAAAGTGTCACTTTCTTATTATTTTATTTCATACTAGCCCATTTCTATTATACAATACAAGAAGTTAATTAAGTTGACCAGGTCACTAACTTAATCACAATTATTCGTTAAACAAAAGAATTAGGAGATGACTGAGTTCATGCCCGCGTACTACTATTGCGGCTGATTGCTTTAAAAAAAGCTTTAATTCTGTGAAAACATCTTAATCAAGAGAAATTAAATCTTTTGACATATCTCTTTGATTTTTATATAGTTAATTTATATTAATTATTGCAATTGATAATGTATAGGTGGGTTTTGAAAGGGAATCAAAACCTTTGATGATGTTCGTATCTGCCCTGAAATATTTTCAACGATTTAATCACCAAGTATCGACGTTTAAAGCCTTTAACTTTAATATAATATTAGTATTAATATAAAATTTTGGAGGCATGATATTATGGCCTTTTGATCTGGAACAAGTTCTACTATTGAAAACTATAGCTTATTTGATTTCCGCTGAGAATAAAATAGTATTCGTGTTCGTTGATAAACAAAGCTATATCTTTTTCTATATTTCTTTTAGGTATTGAAATCATTAAATAGTTGGAAAAAAGGAATATGTTGAGTGGTGAGTCTCTTTGTTGGCCAAAAACATCCTTTATCTATACCCAAAACTTAATGTACATCCTTCAATTTCACCAAACCAAGGTTCATCTTGTGTAGTCATATTGAACAAAAATCATCCTTAAGGTATTCAAAACTTAGCAAGTTTCATCCTTCCCTGAAACTTCTGTTAAAGAGCATTAGCAGACTCAATTTCATGTGCAAGTCACATGACTATAAGCATCCTAAAATGAGTCCAGTAGTTGTATAATGTTCTTCTTCTCAAAGCTGAAGCTTTTATGAGTTAATTTTTTACCGACAAAGTTTGCCAGGAATGAATTTAGAATTCTCCAGCTTAATAAAAATCGTAATATAAGTTGATTTGTACAATGAAGCTCAATATTGGCTATTCTTTTGTTGCTATCATGATTTATTTTCCATAATTATTTGTGGTAACTTTCTTACGGATGTAATTCTAAGACCTTTCATTTATTTGTTGTGCTTGCATTTTTTTATTTTTTAAAGTATTTTCTTCGACATGAATATGCTCTTATTGTTCTCTATCTCCATTTTCACAAGACCCAATAATTTTTTCTTAAATTGTTGTTAAAGATTTTTATTACCAGAACATCAACAAATTTCATTGCGCCCTATTTTAAATTAGTTTCAAGCCTTTCTTCCTTCCCAAAATCAATATCCAAATCAAATATAATCAGAATCCAACCATTACACAGAAGAAGACTCGTCCTAGCTTTGTTGTTTTTTTCCTTTCTTTTATTGTTCATATAGACTCAGCAAAATTGACACATACAAAAGCTAACTTGGAATAACTTTAATTTTTTTTAGCAGAACAAAGAAATTGAATTGTGGCTGGTTTGAGGAACTTGATATTTGGGGTGTTAAAGAGTCATGTGACTTGCACGTAGGTATGTTAACCTTTTTAACAGAAGTTTCACAAAGGATGAAACTTACTAAGTTTTGAATACATTAAGGATGATTTTTTTTGTTCAAAAAATTAGTTGAAGGATGTACATTAAATTTTAGGTATAGTTAACGGATATTTTTGGCCAAAAACACTTGAGTGGTATATATAATTTTAGCTTATATTATCGTAACCCGGGATCGATTCCCCCTCAATGTCTTCTGAGTTGAGTTTATCGCATAGAACTTGCCTAGTGTGATTTACATCCGTTGTATGGTTTACCCGCGACGTGGTTTGCAGGTTGTTACAGGGTAGAGGTTTATCCGGTGCGCTTACACAGTGGGGGTTAAACCCGGGATGAACAAGAATTTGCAAATTGATAACAACTTAATAAATTGGATTAACATCTCACTGAAGCATATAATAGCCCAAATTCAGTTTATTCCACCAAATTCAAAACCTTTTTATACAGTATTTTCACCAGATTAATAGAAAATTAGAACAGCTAATTCACATATCCGCCATCTCTTTTGTAATTAACCCAAACCAAACAAACATAATAACCACAATTAAAAAAAGTATAAGCTGTTAACAGAGAGAAAACTGACCAACAAAAACTACATGCCTAAAAACAGAGCATCAACTAACTGATACTTTCTCTCTCTACTTCACTTTGGGTGAAGCGTAATTAAGATAACTCGGCATCGGACTCGCCCTCGGCGATCTCATCGGAACCTCCTGCAATCGATTCCCTTCGCTATCGTAATAAATCACGCCGGAGAAATCCAACGGCTGACATTTATCTCCCATCAAAATCCCCCTCTGCCAAAGCCCTCCATCGCCGAAATCCTCATCAACAAGCTCTCCTTCCGCCTTCTTCTTGTGCCTCAGATTAATCGCTTTGTTGCTAATCGTCGCGAGGAACTTCTTCGGCCTCGCTAGCGGCGATTTGGGGGAATCGCTCCCGAGTTTTTGAGTTTTAATTCCTCGGCTTGCTTTCTTCAACCACAAAGCTAACAAAGACATCGAACCGATGAAATTCACCATAAGCCGCTTCGATGAGCCGGCTATCGCCGTTGCAGCTCGGGCCGGAGTTCGTGGTGGTGTTAGGAGAACCATTTTGTTTTCTTTTTTCTCTGTTATTTTTTGGTTTTGGAGCACTGGTGAAAGAGGTAGAAATGAATGTGTGGGGTATTTATAACAAAGGGAGAGGAAAGGTGGGTAACCGAAAATAGCCGGTAATAAGAAATTTGACTTTGGGATTATGATTGATTTTGATTTTAATTTATTTTTGGGAATTTCTTAATTGTGTGCACAAGTGGGTTTCCTTTGAATATAAAAGTCGTAGATGGAGTAATTTATATGAAATATTTTTAATTTTTTTCTCTCATAATTTAAATTTGGCGCTATCATAATTATTGAGGAGATAAATAATTAGTATTCTAATAAAAACAATTAAAATAGAAGACTTTAGTTTAGCATTTAGGAAGGTTATTTATTGATTTTCCTATTTATGAGTAATGCTTTTTAAAATGTGCGTCAGTCAAATTAAGATATTTGTAAATTTGGACGGAGGGAGTATTAAATTTGATTATAAGCTTGTTAAGGACACTAATTTAACCAGATGATTTAGATATTAGTATATTTCCTCTTTAAAACATTAAGAAAAATGCAATGACTTGAGGTGTGTTTCGTACGAAAGAAAATATTTTATAACGGAAATTTCAATTTTCTGATGTTTGATTTAAATGTTTTTCAAATCAACTCATTTTTCGAAACTCTACTTCATCCTTCAATATTTTTTTTCTCACCCTACCCCATACCCGACCCTCCCCATCCAAAATAATTTTTATTTTTTAAAAAATTTCTTATTATTTTTTTTCAAATATTTTTTACTCCTACCTTCAAACTAAGCATCCAACCCCCAAACAAGCTCCCCGCCCCAAACAAAAAAAATTGAAAAATAAAAATAAAAGTTGAAAAATATTTAAAAGTTTAAGTTTTTTTTTACCTCCAACCTCTGCCATCTCTACCCCTCCCCCCTCCAAAAAAAAAAAAAAAGGTTGTTTTGAAAAAATATTTCAAATTTTTAAAATTTCATTTTTACCCCACCCTATACCTTGACCGCCTCCCCACCCAAGTCAATTTTTTTAATAAAAAAAATTTATTAAAAATATTTTAAATTTTAAAAATAATCATTTTTTATGCCACCCCTCACTCCTACACCCTGTCTGAAAAAAAAATTCTTTAAAAAATATTTGTGAAAAATATTGCAAATTTTAAAAAATATTTCATGGAAAACATTTTCCTTTTGTACCAAACACACCCCTGATCAGATAGATTTTCTAACCAAAAAAGTTTGTTTCCAGTATTTCTTTTTCAACTAGTTATCTTATTAAGGTAAGTGAATCGTTATGAAATTTATCCTATTTAGTTTTGAAGTCAATGCCCTTTTTAAAATAAAAATAAAAATTCTAAATAGGAATTAAATTAAAAGAATAATAAGAATCCATCAATTATTGCTTAATGGTTATTATATACATGTGTAGTGCGTGTTTATTTGGGTGATGCATCTTCACCAAACAAATCTTATAATCTCTCTTTGATCTTGTAATTAAAATTATGCTTTACATTTAAGTTTAATATTCAACTCGAAATATTAATTACTTAAAATTTGGAAGAAATACGTCTTGTGAATTAACTCATTGGAGGAAATTAAAGCTAGCTAATAAATAAAACTTCTATTACTTTATAATTAAAGAACTACTTGGTACTATTAATTATTTCTGGAGAGTACTTATCAATAAATATAATTTTAGTAGTGATTATCCATAGGACCACTTCTCTTTTTTATTTTTTTGTTCTCCTCTTGTCCCAAAAAAACACTTTTCCTGTTTTGTTTCTTAAGGGTCAATTTGTATAAATTTTGATTAATATTAATTATATATATTTATCATACTTATATGGAAAAAAACTTCTATTTATACTATTTTTTTTATATAGTTTTGAATTATTAAAATTTAGAAAAAACGAAACGTGTATATTTTGGCCAAATGAGTAATTTGTAATGTGTGTGAAATGTGGATATATATTCAAGGAGGCTCAAAAGACGTTGAATAAAAGGCAAGTTTTGGTGTTAGTTGAGTCAACTCCAAAATGAGTTACTAATGAATAATAAATGAAGTCTTCTAAATGAGTATTTCTTAATCAACATCGCAACTTGTAATTTGGGGTTCCAAAGTAGTTTGGTCCCACCATAAATCTCTTTCTTAATTACTCTTTCCATGGTACACAAGTGATCGAGTTGATTGAGCATATGATCTCTCAATAATTAACATCTTCAAAATCTTTTGCATATCCTTTTGATTAAATTTATCTCACGATATTTTTCTAATATGATTTACCTCTTTAATATAGTTTACATGCTACTCACAAGCAAAATTTATAATATGTACATCTAAATAGTAAGGACTACGATTATCTTTTCAACAAAGAAAATCTTAGGTGGGAAACGGGAATTAATGGTTATGCTTGCCGAAATAATGTTCCACTTGATGTTATGGGTAATTGGTAATGGTTTGTCACCCCCAATTAATATATCTTTAGTTTTGTGCTTATCTATTTATCAAAAATAAAATAAGAGAAGCTAAAAATCTGAATAAACTTTAGTAAAAGTATTAACTAGAGGTTGTTTGGTTGTATTAATTACTGAAGTAAAAAATTCTCATTAATAAAATAAAAATTTAAATAGCGAATCAGATGATGAGCTACTAAAATTCAGTTAATTGACTCTCAAGTGGCATGACTCACTCCCTTTATTACATGGGCAACAAGATGTTTCGACATATGATTGGTTAATTAACTAATATCATAGCACTTTTATATTGGCATGAGCAAAGTATTAACTAACATTCTAGTTTTAGATTTGATGTTTTCCAAGTTTTGGTTCTCAAGTTTGTTCCTTATCTACAAATGGAATAAAACCCCAAAAAGACATTAGTGGTATTTGACAAGTGGCTGATTGTGCAAGCATTCAAATGATCCAGGTTGTGAAATATGAGCCACATAATGTTGAGAATTAAGATTAACCAAATTGTTCGATGCTTTTATTCTCTTAGGCAATTTGGACAAGACATCAGTAAATATTTTTAAACAAAATGATGGAGCACTTGAAGCAATATCTACCTCTTGTTTTACTCCACACGATACATATATTATATATGGTGACACACGTTGCACTTCCCCTTAAGTAGAGCTAGCTTTTTCGTTTTGTTTATATGACAATATTTATAACTGAATACAGAAAAGAAAACTTTAAAACATAAGCTAAATTGTTGAACATGTTGAAAAGAGAAAAGGATCAAATCTATCTCTAAACTTATATGAAACGGAACAAATTTGTCTTTCATTAATAATTAGGGTGGGGTCAAATATACACTCGTTATTATTAGTTAAGGTCATATTTGCCTCTAAACTAAGTGAGAATAAATAAATTTGCCCTTATTTTTTGGACGTATTCGATCCATTCGCATAGGTCTAGTCAAATTTGACTCTTCCTCATTATTTTATACTTGTAAAACTTTTTGTTCCTCGTTTTTCTCTTCCCATTACTATTTCTACAACCAAAATAAAATTGTATTGCTTGACGATAATTCAAAGTTAATCATCGCTAAAAGAAATAACAGCAAATTTTATTATCTAGTTATAAATTTTATCCGTCGCTAAACATTTGATGAAATGAAGGATAGACATTAAAATTATGGTCAAAACATCAGTGGAATAATAAGGGCACTAATAAGCAAAGTGGTAGCTGGCCAAATTATTGGAGAACAAATCGTATATAAGTAATTAGGTCACCTCCCAATTTAATTTTGCTATTTTTTTTTTGTTTACTAAGGTAGCAAGGTTCCTGCATTTAGATTTTAAAGATAAAGACTGTTGACTCACTTCTTTTCATTTGAACTTCTTTTCGTGTGCCAAAATTGACTCACTCCAAATTAAATTAAATAAAAACTAACACACTCTACCACGTGGATATTAATTTTTTTAAAACACTCTGCCACGTGGATATATTTTATTAATAATTTATAAGTTTGAAGTAAAACTAGCTTTTCAATTATTTTTCCCTTATTGATTTTTGAATTATGATATATAAATAAAGTAAATATTTAATAAAGAGAAATTATATCTTAAGACGTACATAAAGGTACCTTCCTAATTAAAAATGTTTTCTTTATAATAAATAGAAAACACGAAAAATATTTTGAAATGGAAGTAGATACGCTATTATTATGCCACTTGATTTTAAGAGAATTGTGTATTTTCTTAAATCCATTTGATTTATTTCAACGTTTACAAGGGCTTATTTAACCCTGCATGATTTTGGGGTAAACTAAGCTTAATTAGCAAATAAATCACGTCTTTAACTGACTACGAAAAGGCAAAAAATACAAAAATGTGAATAACACTTTGTTATCATTATCAGTGGACACGCCACAAAGAGTAATAGACCTTAATTAAACATTAAAAAAAAGCAATTATGAAATGAGTAAGCAGCAATTAATAAGTCTAAATATAGTATACAATTAGACCACACGTGACCAAATCAAACAAATTTGCTTTCTTTGATGAAATTAATTAAAACCTTAATCGTCTCACAATTGGAACTATCAACTACCATATCATCAATTGTCTTTTTCTTTATCTTCTGTTCCTTTTTTGATTGATATCAAACTATTAACAGATATAGAGAATATAATAATATTATAAAACAAAAAAAAAACTTGGCTACAATAAAGAGTTTCTCATGTGGAGTCAAAAAATCAATTAAACAACAACAGTCTATGATGGTAGACAATTTCACGAAGATAGAAAATTTGTTTTCAAAGGATTCTCGCATAACTCAACTATAGCAAATCTAAATAGTTACGAAAAAAGAAAATGATAGAGAGAAATAATGGCAGCTAATAAGAAAAGTAATACAGAACATTTAGAGATAACTGGAACACATATACCATAAATGATAACACATTAAAATTACAATTAGGTTTTATCAATAGCTCACTCAAACCTAGTGTCTCTGCCATAAGAATTAGACCTAAGAATCTCCATTGTATAAT